GTTCGTAACTAGAGGTACCACTGTAATTTTATGCTTGTAATATTGACATCCTAAATTATAATTAATACTGATAGAATTTTTTCTTTCTTTTCTCTATTTGCAATATTTTAAGCCAGGGTTTTTCAAACTTGCCAACTTTAAAATGTGCAGATTTCAACTCCACACATTTTAAAGTTGCCAAGTTTGAAAAACGCTATCTAAATAATATATTAATAATCTCTAATTATATCATGTAAACATGATAGTACTGAAACAATACAATGTATGAAGATGTATAAGAATATGATAAAAAGGAAAAAAAGAAATTCTAAAAAAAATTAGGTATCTGTCTATTTATCTATATCTTTTGAAATGCCTGTATGGAGAGGGAGAAAATCATCAAGAAAGTGGGGGCAAAAGTCATATAGAATGTAGCAAGTAAATCAGTAGTCTATCAAGTAAGTCTCTGGCCCATTTCAAATACGTTACAGGTAACAATAATGTATAACAACATTTTAAAGCAGTACATTATTATTTAAATCTGAAACTACCGAATTGCAAATATTAAAACGTCGAACTAATGTCTTTTAACCTAGAGGACTTAATGCTTTGAAATGGTAGCAAAGTAGAATCAAAACTTAACTATTCCAAGTCAAACTCCTAGAAGGCTGATAGAATCTAAGGCAACCATCCCTTTTATGCATAAATCTCTGTAAAGGGAGGTATTCTCTTACTGTTCAGGGAGGTATTAGTAGCTTATCACTCAGTTGTGCAGGACTTGTTAAACCTTGGTTGAGTTTACCCATAACCCTAAGCCAGAACATTAGCAATGGTTTGTTCAACAACCTTTACACAATGCTAAATACGTTTTAGTTTGTTGATCACTACGAAGCCACACGCAGTAAGTTCATACTTCCTTCTAAGCCAAAAGCAAACAAGACGCATTACTGCTTAAGACATATAAACCATGAATTTATGATTGTGTGTGTGTGTATATAAAAATATATATAAATCATACATACACTGATGTATCAATACGTGATTTATGTATAAATAGCAGTAATAAAAACAGTAATCATATTATTTCAGTTGTTATGGGATGGTCTGTGACCTGAGCTTTTCATGGGATCCAGGTAAAGAGACTATTTACATCCATTTGATTTGGCAAAACGATGCAAGGTGATGCAATTGCATACCTCTGATGGGAGGTGAGACAAGGCTCCTGTCCTGGGACGCATCATGCATGCGTATTTTGCGGTAGGGCCTGTCTGCCTGCCTTAAGCAATGCCATGTTCTCTCTCTGGAGAGCACCAGCTGCAAACCTGGCATCTGAAGCAAGAGGATGCAAGGTAATTGTATCCCATTGCTTCAGGTGCTGCTTTTGGGGAAAAGAGAGGGGCCTAAATAAAAGAGGAATCTTTACATGCCTCAGTTATTATGGTACTAGTAAATAAAGTTAATTACAAATTTTTGATAGCTGTGACTTTTAAAGCTAGGGTGATTTTGTCTCCTTGAATCAGTGAAGGAAGAATTTATCTGCAGAGAGCTCTGGAAACTTATTCTGGTTTTGCTAGATTATGGAGCCAGAATCCACAAAACCAATTTAGTTCTTGGCTACTGGAAGTAGGTGGGCATGCAACTCTTGGGGGCAGCCCTCTTCTTTCCATCGCTTCCCATCTTGTTCTCTTGCCTCTCTAGAAGTTTGCGGGCCTTCAAAAGCAATATGGGCCTTTGTTTTTCTGACCCCTTTGCTTTGCTATGCAGTAATGCCCTTGAAGCCGGAATCCATTCCTTAAAACACAAAAACATGCTAGCTATAAAAATGTTTAAGCATGCAAAATGCAAAACTTTAACCTTAGCATCTGCTTGAGTGCCAAAGTGTGAGTCACAAATTGGAAGAACCAGCTGGATGTTCTGGGTTGTTTTAAAATTCTAGTATTTTATAACCAGATTTGCATCTTTGCCAGGGGGGGGGGGCAATCAGTAAATTGCTGTAGGCTCCCCAGTGGGACTGCACTGCCAGCCACAGTAGGAATTTTTCCTTCCCAAAAAAGTTTGATTTATTTATACATAAACAGCTATATAGATGGAGACAAGCCACATGGATTCCTATTATATATCAAACCTTCAGTGAAGGATCTTTGTACTTCTGCTTTTATCTCCTCTACCATCTGTTCCAAAAGTTTTGTCTGTGTTGGCTGTACACACTTAATATCAGCTCCTGCATCTTAGTTCAGGTGAAATATGCTGGCCTTTTCTGGTTGTTTGTAGTTTGCATTGATAAATGCTTTGTAAACAGAGCTTCTTTGTGACTAAGAAAGCTTTTTTGAATAGTTAACACCTTCCCAGGTTATTTTAGTGAAGAAGTTATTTGAGTTGCAATATTTACTTACGGTTTGCTTTCTGGATTGTCACCTTACCAGTTTAAAACAAACTCTCGAAAAAGCAGGAGGGTAAATTGTATCTTTCATATGCCTAGCACAGTGTTGTCCAAACTTGGCCACTTTAAGATGAGTGGACTTCAACTCCCAGAAGGGCTGGATCTTGTGGTTAAAATCCAGAGCCTATTGCTGGGAGTTGAAGTCCACTCATCTTAAAGTGGCCAAGTTGGGCTGGATCTTGTGGTTAAAATCCAGAGCCTATTGAAACTTGGCCACTTTAAGATGAGTGGACTTCAACTCCCAGAATTCTGGGAGTTGAAGTCCACTCATCTTAAAGTGGCCAAGTTTGGACAACACTGGCCTAGCATCAGTGGCACAGTGACATAACTTTAGACCTTGGACCTGTCTTATGAGTCTCTTCCTCCTCCCCAGCCTTGGAAATAAGCGTCACATTGTTTTGGGTATCTTCAAAGAAAAAATAATAAAGCAAACACTTGGAACTAGACAGATGGCCAACCCAGAAAATAGAGTCTAAAGAAGCAAGAAGAAAAGCAGTTTCGGTACACACCATTAGTTCCTGGTGGGCCCCAACATAACTGGGCTGACCCATGGCCTTCATTTGTTGGGTCTTCTCTTGGGCAATAGGCTCTGGATTTTAACCACAAGATCCAGCCCCAAGTACCTCTGAGGTTATCCTTTCCCTAATGCATTTTGCCACCCTCTGTGTCCTACCACCCTCATACCTATAAATAGGTGCTGGGAAATACTCCTTTCCAAGATCTGATAGAGATCTCATTCAGACATCAGTATTTTCCCAAGATTTCCCACCAGTTGGCTTCCATTGCTGGTAGCCACAGAGCAGTAACATGCATAATGAGAAATGGGTAATAATTCAATACAATAAGCTATTCTTGAATTACTTTTACTACTGTACTTGCTTTGATTGAAGATAGGACAGAAATTAGATGCTTTAGCATTTGAATTATGGTTGCTCACATTCAAGGTTTGGGTTTGGGGGGCATCTACTTTTAATACTGATGTTATGGTGGAAGTCCTGCAGGTTTTGTATTGTGGAGAGTTAAGTTTTTCTTAACTTTATATCTGAGTATCAAAAAAAAATCCAGATGGGCAGTTAACCAATAGTAGCTATCTCTGTTGTTCAGATGACTCAAGAGTCACACCTAGCTTCCTCATTATCTTATCTCTTACTGTTTGCTCAAATCAGTCTACTGCCAAGACTACTAACTTACCTCTACTTGCGTCCTGCTGGAGAACAGATTATTCAGCCCTGTTGTTTTTATGATGTGCTCCATCTGTGTTGTGGTTTACAGCAATACAATCTAACAATCATGGCATTCAAGGAGAAAGAGAAGAGAGCAAAGCAAGCATTGAAGAAGCAACTCCTTCTTTATACGATAAAGGAGGCCAGACTGGTCAGTTCAAATTGTGCTTTTTTGAAAAGAAGAAAGGAAGATTCCCTGCAATTTCTCTTGCTAATCTTTAGGGCCGAGTTAGTCTTCTCCCTGCCATGATGTTCTTCTAGAAGAAAGAAGGAACACTTTTTCAGCATGGTCCCTTAGCTCTACACTGGGGAGAGAAGGGTTGTGTGCTCTTGAGAACCATCAGAGCTGCGATATGATCTGTACTTCATCTAAATCAGTGGTCCTTAATATGGGGATAATTACCCCAAAGGAGGTAATTTGGGCATATATTGTGAGTTAAGGATCCAGTTTGGGACTGCTGTTGCGAAGACACTTCTGTAAAACAAGAGACTGGTTTTTTCGGGGAGGGCGGTAATGAAGTTATTCAAGACTGGGAAAAGATAATTGGGTCAAACAGTTTAAGATACACTGGTCTAAATCCTATTCATAGATAATGAGATTCTGGTTAATCAAACAACACCCAACGTAGCATACTGTGCCATGTATGTCTTCTATATATTGAGCCAATATTTGCTGTCTTTATTAAAAAATATATATGGAAAGCCCTAGATATTCAACCCCCTTAAAGGGGTAAGTTGAGTCAGATGCTTCAGCCAATGAGATGACAGTCAGGTGTGGGTTTTAGGGACCTTCCTCTGTTGAAACACAGACACCCAAACGTGGTGGATGCCGCCATCAGCATCTGCTCTTCATAATACAGGTTTGTGGAAGTGAACCGTGAGGCACTTAAAAGAGATTTCTGCAAATTTCAGAAAAAGGGTTCTTGATGCTCAAGAGGCTGGAAAGGGCTACAAAAACATTGCTGGAGACTTTGACCCCCATTAGTCCTTGGTCAGGCAGGTAGTGTACAAATGTAGATAATGCAACACCATTGTTACCCTTCCCATTAAAAATGTCCCCAAGAGCAAAACAAAAAACAAAAAAAAACCCAATTTTTTCATAACCAAACCTGGTTTTTTTTCCTTCTTTAAAAATTGCTCAAGAAAAATGTTTCTCAAGGAGCACATTTTTGACTAAGAAAAGATGAAAGAGAAGGTGATGATGAGCTTAAATAAGACTGCTGAAACCCACCTTTCTTTTGGTGTGTGTTCTCTCACCCTTTTCCATTTGTCTGCAGCTCAAAACCAATGCATGAAAAATCAGGGCCCATGCACAGCCTGGACAAGCTGGAAGCATGGCACAAGGAAAAGAGCTTGGATTCTCCAAATGGCAGGTGAGCATGACGTCCCTCATGCTTGGCAGAAAGGCCAAGCGCCTGGAACAAGTTCCACCTTATCTCAGGAGCATCCGCTAACGGCTTTTTCCAGATGATTGCAAACTCGGTCAGTTCGGTACAAGCTGCAGTTTGAAGGGCGAAAGACCTACTCCTGAGTAAACACACAGAATGGTGCTCCTCAGAATGGAATTTTGAGCAGCTTGGTATTAAATCTTCGGCTGTTTTTAAGTCAGCATTAAAGACCAAACTGAATACAGCGCTAAATGAGCTAAGGCGGCTTGTGTGTTTAGCATTTGTGTGTTTAACTTGCATATTTCTTTTTTGCACATATATTTTTCAGTATGCATGTCTGATGCTTTCTCAGCATAAATCATACCTACAGGGAATCTAGGCAGATCACGATTATGGCATACTGGGAAGGAAAATTCTTCTTGGAAATCGCTTCTTTCCCCCTTCAAAGTTCCCTGTTAACCTAGGAGGGCTTACAGCAGTTCAGGGAAGATCATGCCCATTGAGACACAAGTACATAAGAAGCAGGTGGTAGATTGTCCAACTCAAAAATGCAAACAGTTGAATGTTTTCCCTCCATAATTCTGAAGACCTTCCTTTCAGTGTTCTGTATAATGAATCGATAACTACCTTTTACTGAAAGAGGTCCAAGCTGACCACCCTCCCCAACCCCATTGCAGTGACAGCCTGCAATAAATCTTCCAAAAGAAGGGGCCGGAGGAAAGGCTGCCGTGTTGATCTTGACTCCCTGTATGGTGACTTCATGGACACGTCCGTGTCGTTTTCTTATCTGGAAGGGCAGAATTCAGCAGACATCTGCTTCCTCCACTTGGGAGCTAGCGGCATGAATAAATCCCTCTCCAAAAAAACCTTTCTGCTAATGGATATCAGCATGAGAGAGAGTCTCATTTATGAAGAGTGATGTATAGAAATAGAGACCAAGGGTGTTCAACAATGAAGTCTCTCTCAATCTCTCTCTCTCTCTCTTTCTCTCGCAGCCTGAATCTGAATAATGCTGTAAAGAATGAGGAACTCAAGAAATGTCACCGAGAAGTCACGGTAAGTCAGGGAGAGAGGGTGGGCATAATTTTGATGGACCTCACGGCCACTTTCCTTGATAGCCGTGTTGGGAGGGATGGGAGGGGGGCCTGGATTCATGGATTCAACTTCTTTTTCCCTTCAAGGCTGTCTGCCCTGCTAACCTGAGATCACTCCCCTGCGCGCACTCCCTTCCTGGCCTTGCTACTCTTATCTTCTGCCATTGGTTTGACATGGGCAGGAATCTTAGTGGCATCTGCTACATTTTACATTTGGGGAAGCTTCTACCTTTTGTCTGGGATTGAGCAAGTAAAAACAAATAATCACAGCATGCAAGGGACAAGCATAGATGCTGTAGAGATAAATCTTCCTTATTGACACCGGTGTTTTTCAGACTTGGCAACTTTCAGATACTTCTCCAAGTTGAAAAACACTGATTTATATTCTCAGCCAAGAGAGCTTTATAGCTGTTGGTTTTGTCTAGGCCTCATATTAGAGGCCTCAAGACTCCCCCAACCCCCCAGGGGAGTTTAGAGCTTGTCCTTGAGTTTAGTGCTTGTAAGTTGTTATATTTATGGCTGACCACTAGGAAGCACTGAACAGGAGGTTTCATCCTTGTGTTGGGGCTTGTCAGGTGTAAGTGGTTTTCATACATTAGTTGGTTCCATTATATGGAGGCCACCTATGCCTGATGAAGCCCAAACGAGGATGAAACCTGTCCTATAGTGCCTCCTAGTGATCAATAGCAAATATAACAAGGAAGAAGCATGATTGAAGCACAGCAAGTCCATGGATTATAGCAATATTTCTCGACCTCAGCCGCTTAAGTTGAAGTCCCCACAGCTTAAAGTGGCTGAGGTCGAGAAACACTGGTTTACGGCTTCATGTGTTATGTGAGCTCAGCCAACTCTGGTTTACTCATTCAGTAACAGTTAAATGAACAAGGGGGTGCGTGAACCCAGTAGCATCTTGCCTCTTTCTTTCTGATCTGGTTGCAACGTGGTCTGCTCTCCCTGCCTTTAAAAAAAGAAAAATGAAGTGAAACAGCTGCTAAAATGGTTGAGGCCACCCGGTTGCTCCAAACCTGCATTTTGCCAGTCTTCTGCATGTCCTTGATGCTTGGGTCTGCTTTCTCTCTAGGCTCTAAATAAATACAACTCTCAATATCACAAGTTATTCAAGGACATTCCCACGGAAGAGAGCGTGCTTAAAGGTAAAGAGGAAAGGACCGTTGAAAAGCAGGTTGGGGTGCTGTGAGTTCTCTATTCCAATCTTTCCCACCCTGGTACCTGTCAAATGTGCTGGACAGTTTCAGGAGGCAACAAACTGGGATTAAAATTCCATTCCCTCATCTACCTTTTTATTTGTAAGGCTGTCAGCAGCCTCCCGTGTCTTCTTGGACATCCGTAGATCCCCTTCTTAATGGAGGACCGCTTTTGAGGTTAAAAGCATTCCTTGCTATGGCGTCTGTCTGTTTTATTTCCAGTCTGCTCCTGTGCCCTTCAGCGAGACATTCTTATCCAAGGCCGTCTCTACATTTCTCCAAACTGGCTGTGTTTCTACGCAAACCTTTTTGGGAAGGATATCAAGGTGAGTGTCACACACAGAAGGGAAGAGGCAGCAAAGGTGGGACACTTTGGGCTTGTCCTTGGAAAAGTTTGTCTTGATGTATTGATTTGCAAGTATTGATTTGCAGGAAAGCAGGGCAGTTCTTAGTTTACAATGTAGAACAGCTCAACGCCTTCCTCTAGTTACCCCTGGATGTAACTGCTTTTGAGAAATTTTCCCACCTAACTTTTATTGCTTATTCCCAGTCTTCCAAGATTGAAGCAACTGCTAGAACAAGTTTAGATCTGAATAGGCTAAAAAAGAAGAGTGTTAAAAGCAGATGAAAGGAAGCTGTAAACACTCTCTTCCAAAGGCTTGAAGAAGCAAAAGAGTCTTTGCTAGTTTTCCAAGGCTCCTGATGTATCTTCCTCCTTTTCTTTTAAAATTGTTTTTGGGGCAGTTGGTGCATTTGGGAATTTTGAGAGTGTGTACTGAGTGCTCTCACAAAATGCTCCCATAGAGGGGGTGAGGGTTGCCTGTTCCCAACCTGGCTGCCATGACAGGCATGGCCAGTCCCAAAACATCATTTCTCTGAAGATAAGTTGGGGAGATGTCTGAAGCTGGTCTTTTGTTGCCTGCCAACTTCTGATTTTTTTCTACATTGTTTTTAAAGACAGGTATAGGATGAAACTGTCTTGGAAATTTCCCCCCATTCTGGGACACTGCTCGTGGACCAGTGGAAGGAAATCAGCATGATTGCAAGGGAAGTTCTAACTCAACAGTGTGGCCTCTACCTTGTTGGCTTTGACCCCATTCACTGCTGGCATGTTTCCCCAGCAGAAGAATGTAGTCCTCCACAGAAAGGGTTTCCCTATCCTTGGTTAGAGGATTTGCCTTCTCAGTCATGGCACCTGCCCTATGGGGCAGCCTCTTCCCAGAGGGCCCAATCCTCCTGGCCTTCTGGAAGAATATGAAGACCTGGCTCTTCCACAAGGCCTTGGGCCAGGATGTTAGCTGAGCCCAATACAGGTGCAATTGGTGTCGGGAGTCTCTTAGATGATTGTGATTATTTTCATTCTGTTTCTGTAGTTTGTTGATATTGGTTTTATTATACATTTTGTGGATTGTTGTTAGCTACCCTGGGTTGAGTATGTAAAATGATTCTTATTATACATTTCCTAAATCAATCCAAAAATCAGTTTATAAGCTAAAATAAATTTAACAAATTAACATTCTACAACCTTTTTTTCATTTCAGGTTGTTATTCCTGTGGTCTCTGTCCAACTAATAAAAAAGCACAAAACAGCCCGATTGTTGCCAAATGGACTAGCGATCACCACCAATGCCAGCAGAAAAGTAAGTATTGCTGGCCATTGCTCTCACTCTGGGCAAATCCCAGGGCATTACAGATAGTCCTTGCTATCCTACCACAATAGGGACCAGAATTTAGGTTGCTAAGCGATTTGGTTGTTAAGCAAAGCAGAGTTGATTTTACGACCTTTTATGACAGTCATTAAGTGAATCTTATGGTTGTTAAGCAAATCATGTCATTAAGTGAATCCAGCTTCCCCAATGGACTTTTTTTGCTAGAATTCGCTTAACGACCACATGATTCACTTAACAACTGTCGTAAAAAAGGTCGCAAATCGTGATTGTGTGACCACAAGGGTCATAAAGCACTTTTCCCAAGGCCACCGTAACTCCAGACCATTGTTAAATGAATGGTCATTAAGTGAGGACTACCTGTAGTTTTTCTGCCAGGCTGAGATTAAAGCTTCAAGGATTTCTGCCCCTAACAAGTCATGAGTGGCTGGGGGATTATGGGAGTTGCAGTCCATTGCATCTGTAGGCTATCTGATGGAAGAAGAGCTGCTTTAAGGTGATCTGAGGCAGATGGGAGACTCTGGAAGTTGGGCAGCAGATAATGATGATCTTCGTATAGCTGGAACTTTCTACATCCTATTGCTATGTATCTTTTGGAAATCTTTTTCTTATTATTTTTTTATTATACCTTATGGTGAGATTAACAAATAAAAATAAACAGTGGCAATACAATTTAAAACCATAATGGTGATTCAAATGAGGCAAAACTTTAAAAATGGAACAAAAAAGCTATTAATGTAATATTTATTTAATATGTAGTAATAATAATATAATAACATTTCATAATACAGGTAGCTCAGTCTTTTAACAGATTATTAAAATCTATCCTATACAGAAACATCCTTCTCCTCTTCTCATTTCTACACTAAAATGACATTCCAAAAATTGACAAAGAACACATCCTTTGAATCCGCTGACATCTGGAGTGTTGTTTTATTTCTGTCTACCTAAAATAATTCTCATAGCCAAACCCCAGGCTCAGCAGAGCCAGAGTTCTTCATAAAATGTGATTTCATATTTTGGAATGTAATTCAGCATCACATTTACATTTTTAGCTATTCTGATTTTTCCCCCAAGGCTGTATTAAGGCATGTGATGACTTGAACCTTGCAAAGAGCCATATCAGAACAGTCACCCTGTGAAAATCATTTTGGGATTGTTTTGGGACTGACACTAAAATGGGCTAAGTTGGTTCACATTATCTGGTCCTCTTTCCGTCCTTCTGTCTTGTATAGAAGGTTTGCCACCTGTCCTCTGTTGACATTTTCTCCACCAGGCCCTCCAAACCATTTTTCTGCTAACACTCGTTACCCCTAAATATGAGTAACTCTCATGTATCACTGTATACAAATATCTGCTTTCCTTTTCTGGCACCACTTTGGCTGGCTTCTGACATGGTTCTAAGGCATTGCACATGGTTTTGGCTGATCATGTTATGTGAACCCACCAGATCAACCATGCCTAAATAAGCCAGGGCTTAGCATGATGTTTGAAGCTCAGACTTTCTGCTCCATTTCATATCGTACTTGAGATTTAAATAAGTTCTGGAGCCCTCAGGAACAATTTGATGACTGCTTTGGCAGTGAATTGCCCCAGGCAGAGGGAATGGGGCAGAAATGCCAAGAGTGAGCGCTTGGCAGAGAATAGTCCATATCAGGGAATTGATAGCTTTTTCAGTGACAGATTGCAGACTTCATCACAATATCAACCTTCATTAGAACTTCTCCCTTCTGTCCTTCAACATTGGAAGAAGTTGTGTAGAGTCTTACAGTTCAAAGCAATTGCAGTCAAATTGTGCAGCCACTTGTGGGCAGGATGTGACAGTGCTGCTGGTGGTTGACATTCTCAAAGGGCCAGAGTGGGAAGGAAGACGGCAGCAGCTTTTGATGCTCCAGCCAAGTAAATTTGGAACAGATGAATTTCCATTTATGGGCTTCCCGAAAGTGAAACCCACAAAACTTTCCAGATGCATTGATCGCTTCCAATCCAAACCATTGATGGGGATGGAAGGGGAGGAGGTTCACAAGCTTAAAGGGGGGAAATCTTCCCTTTTGACTCAAATCCTGACTTCCATTATTAAGCCCTCACAAGGTCAGCACGGGCTACGCTGCACTCTTCCACCTCTTCCTGAGGTCGATCAGGTTTCTTGAGGCAGCCTTCCCAGACAGTTTACACTATAGCTCCCATTGGAGCCCTGGCTGGGCCCAGTGACAGTTGTTCGCCAGCACATTTGGAACCTATCTGGAGGGGCCCCGAGCTGGGGGGGAGGGATTTCCCATAGGTGACTCTCCTGCTGAAGTGTTGCCCTTGGTCTCACTTCAGGCTTGGCCCTGGAGGGAAGGAGATGAAGGTAAGGAATGTTCACCGACATTCCTGCTTTCCAGAGTCCAAGCTCTCCAAAAGAAGGTGCCTTTGCTGAGAAGGACTTGCAAGTCCAGAAGCAAAAGATGTCCTCCCCTCCCACTCCCTTCTTTGCCTTAAGTTGCAGGCTCAGCCTTTTCCAGATCCTCCTCTTACTGGACAATAACAGCCAAATTATTTTATTCTCTTTCACTATTCATCCACTATGGGAACAATAACAAGCAGCTGTCTCTTCTGGTCACTGGGGGAATGTGGCCTCAAACCCACTCGCCTCCCATTGATGCAGCTGTAAGTCCTCAAGCACCATGTGTGCTGCAGATGTGTGCGAGCATCTGGGGCAATCACTTTTCAAGATGGGGCCCCAAATATCCGTCTTCCAGAACCAGGTCTTGCGTCTGGAGAGGAAGCACCTGGCCTGCCTCTTCTCCCAAGCCCCTTGCTCCAAACTTGGTGGCCTGGACTTTCCCTACTCATACGTCCCGTGTTCCCTTTTTCTTGCAGTACATCTTTGTGTCCCTCATTTCCAGAGACAGCGTCTATGACGTCTTGCGGCGTGTCTGCACCCACTTGCAGGTACTCCCTTCTCCTCTCTGAGGTCCGCAATAGGCGTTCCGGGGCAGCCATCTGGCCCGTTGCAGCCAAAGGTCAGAAGAGGGGAGGTTGCCTGCAGGTATGCGATGTGTGCAAAAATGGAAAGACTCCGAAATACCCACAAGAGAGGAATGGTTGGTGAAGATGACGGAGCTAGCAGAGATGGCAGAATTAACTTGTTTGCTTAGAGAAAGATCGACAATTCCATTTATTAGTGATTGGAAAACCCTTGTGGACTTTTTGCTTAAAAAAGAAAAAAAAAACCAAACTTGGTGATTTACAGGTTTGATGATTAGAAAGGGTAGATTATTGAAAGAAGGAAATTATGAAGTAACCTTAGTGAGAGAGGGTAAAATATAAATGTACTTAAAACTGCTGTTAAGATCAGAAGCGACTTCTTTATTATGTTTTTCTTCTTTTTCTTTCTTTTCTATTTCCTTAGCTTTATCTCTTTTTCACCTTCTTATTCTTATTTTCCCTGTTCTTTTCTTTAATTGAAAACTTGCATTGTTTTTATTCTGTTGAAAACTTCTTTAATAAAAATTATTTCAAAAAAAAGAAAAGAGGGGAGGTTGCAAGGCAGTATTCTAGGACCAGCAGAGTAGCGATTCAGTTGGTGGACCAGGGAGGCTCTGTTCAAGTCCACCCCAGCACAGAAGCTCTCCAGGAATCTGGATCCTGTCCTTTTTCTCTGAGACCGGCCCACTTCACAAAATTGTTGTGGGGAAAAATTGGAGGCTGGTGTGTTTTGTACGCTGCCTTGAGTTCTTGGAGGAAAAGTAAGGTAGCTGTTTTAGGGCTGTGCAGCTCCTTTGAAAGAGGCACTTTGGGATGCGCAAGAATATGTACGAAGCATCTCTTTTCCCAGAGTTGTGTGGTTACTTCCGGCTGCCTTCACACATGTGTGAATGTGCACTTCTGGAGTTGTATAACGTGGCTGCTGTAATGATTCAAAAAGACATGCTTTGTGTATACTCCCATGTCTTCTGAAGCATCTTTTTCAAAGGATTAGCGCTGCCCTGGTAAATCTAACAAAGAAATAAAAACCTTGATAGTTTAGGACAGAGATGCCCATAAATTGATAGCTTCTTTGACCCACCTCATTGCTGCAGCTTTGGAGCCCTTAAACTCTATGCAAGGAGGGTTTTTTTTTTTAAGGGGGGGGGGAAATCAGGCTGCGTGAGATGAACTGGAGTGGGGAGGGATTTGAAAAACTGGAAAAATATTAAGATTCCCTTAAATTGGTCTGCCTTTGGTTTCTTCTGAGATGTTTTTTTCAACTTCTTTATCTAACTGAAGTCTTCCTAGTGATCTCCCATCCAAAGAAGACCCAGGTTTGAACTGCTTCAGCTTTTGGGGAGCAGCTTCCCTTTTGATCTTTTCTTTAAACATAGGAAAGTCTTTTTATGGCAGGGTTCTTCAACCTTGGCCACTTTAAAACGGGCGGACTTC